AGAACAATGAGATTTTTTTTTTTTTGAGAATTTTGTATTCATTTCTAGACAGTCAAAAGTTTACACACATTTCCTTGGTATTTTTCTAGCTTTGCTTTTAAACTGTATAACTTTGGTCAAATGTTTTGGGTATCCTTCCACAAGCTTCTCACAATAGTTTGAAGGAATTTTGGCCCATTCTTCCTGACAGAATTGGTGTAACTGAGTCAGATTTGTTGGCTGCCCACAAATTTATATAGGATTAACATCAGGGCTTTGTGATGGCCACTCCAAAACATTCACTTTGTTGTCCTTAAAGCAGTTTTGAACTAATTTAGCAGTATGCTTAGGGTCATGGGGTGTTTGGAAGACTCATTTGTGGCCAAGTTTTAATTTCCTGGCTGATGTCTTGAGATGTTGCTTAAGTATTTCTACATAATGTTCTTTCCTGTGATGCCATTTATGCTGTGAAGTGGACCAGTCCCCCCTTCAGCAAAACAGCCCCACAACATTATGCTGCCACCCCTATACTTCATAGTTGAGATGGTGTTTCTAGGTTTGTAAGCTTTCCCCTTTGCCCTCCAAATGTAACACTGGTCATTATGGCCAAACAGTTTAATCTTAGTTACATCAGACCACAGGACATGTCTCCAAAAATGATTATTTTTCCCAGTGTAATTTAGCAAATTGTAATTGGCTTTTTTGTTGATTCTGCTTGTTGATTTTCCCATGTTGTCACACAAGGAAGCAGTGTGCTTGAGGTTTTCCTTAAATACTATTCCACAGTTGTGCCTCCAATTAACTCAAATGCTGTCAATTAGCCAATCAGGAACTTCCAAAACCTTGACATCATCATCTAAGCTTTTTCATAGGCATTATAATCTTATTGTATGTAAACTTGACTTCCAAGAAAAGTTATAAAAAATTCTCAAAACAATATATATCTCTCTCATTATTCTGCTATTAAGCATAACAGAAACAAATTTGATAATCCTAGCTTACCTAAAATAGAAAAAGTTTAGTCACATTAAAATCTGACTTTTTTGTTAATGGTTATGTGCCGTTTTATACAGTGTATGTAAACTTCTGGTTTCAACTGTATGTAAGTAATGTGTATTTATGTAGCACATTTGTTGTGTATGGTAATACTCGCAAAGCGCTTCACGATCATCAGGGGGGTCTGTCCACACCACCATCAGTGTGCAGTGGGGGCAACCACAGGCCAGTGCGCTTAACACCCACACCAGCTATTGGTGGAGTGAAGTGACTGTGATAAAGCCATTTTGGTGGGTGGGGATGATTGTGAGGCCATGGTCGGTAAGGCACGATTGAGGGAATATGGCCAAGACACTAAAGTTACATTCCCTAATCTTTACAGTAAGTGCCATGTCATTTTTAATGACCACAGAGTCAGGACCTCAGATTAACTTCTCATCCAATATATGACGCTCACTGACAGTATAGTGTCCCCTTTACTTTTACTGGGACATTAGAACTCACACAGACCACAGGTTGAGCGCCCCCCTGCTGGTTTCTCTACCACTTCCAAAAGCAATCTAGTTTTACTATGTGGTCTCCCATCCAGGTACTGGCCAGGCTCAGTCTTGCTTAGCTTCACTGAGTAACTGGTCTTTGGCTGCGGCCATAAATGTAAAAGTTGATTTGATATTATTAGATTTTGTTGATGATGATTTCATGCAGGTAGTGGAGTAAGAAAGTCTCCTAATTCTTCTGATGAGATTAATATAATTTTTTTTTGTTTTTGTTTTATTTGCAGCTGTAATTTAATATCTTCGCATACAGAGTAGGGCTGCATGATTAATCGAAAAAAAGATTGTGATCTTGAGTCAACCCCCCAGACGATCTTAATCCAGCATCTCTATGATTCAGCCAATTATATTTTCAAGTTCAGGAGACAAGCATATACTGATGACTTAACAGGTCTTTACATTCTTTTATAAACATTGCTCAGCAGCGTGGACTCCTCCAAATAGTGTTGAAAGAGTCAGCATATTGTATTTATAAGGTATAATTCATAAGTGTATACAATGGTCTAATAATGTTGTCAATAACCCCTTTTACACAGTGATATCGGTAAATATCTGGAAAATTTCCGGAACGACTTTACCGGTATATTTAAAAAAGCGCTGTTCAAACAGGCGAGGACGTTACGGAAATTTTCCGGAAAAGAGCATTCACACATCCATTCCAAAATACCGGTAAATTCTGACATCATTAACCACAAATGAGCTTTAAACGGCTGCGCTTGTATTTGTAAACATTTGACTAAATTACAAACTCTGTGGATGATCAATATTGTGAACAACTTTCGCAGGATCACTTTCGCATGTCGAGATGTTCATAATATGTGCGTGTGCAGGCCCTCACAGACACACGCAAATCTTGAAGGTAAACAAACCACGGCTTATCATAAGCATCTCATCGATGATTATTTACACAGTTGGCATTAAGAAGAACATATAAACGTGATCTGACTTATTTCTAGCAGCTAAATGTGTCTGGAAAAATATTCAAAGGCTTTTATTCTCACAAACCGCTCGGACGTAAATGCGTCTGACTGTTGTGATTGGCTAAAGCAGACGTCTCACGTCAGCACGTTCTAGACGTGGACGCGCTTATTACGGCAATCTTCCATCTGCATTCACACAGCGCAGAATTCTAGAAAAATAGCCAGAACGAATTTGCCGTTATTTTCAAAAATGACCTGTTCACACATACAACCTTTCCGGAAATTTGCCGGCAATTTTCCGGAAAGGTCTGTATGTGTGAAAGGGGCTATTGACTGATTGCAAGGATATGTCTTAAACATATTAATTCACTTACTGATGACTAGAGCAAATTAAAAGTTTTTGTCAAGTCCACTGTTCTACGTCTGTGCGAAATTTTGCATTTTAACCAGCAGTAGACAGATACGCCTACCATTATTATTGTTTTATTACTATTATTTATTTTTTATTTATAATTTAGTTTATTTTACATCTACAGAACTGTGAAAAATGAATGATTTTTTTAACAGTAAAATAATTGTGAAATAGCAAAACACAAAATAAATTAATAATATTAGCAATAGAATCAAATCTGTCCTTGTTGTTTTATTTTCATATGTTTGATTCAATCATTTGTTTCCTCCTGCATCATAATTTGTGTGCGTGTTTGCAAATATTTGATCAAAATATATAAGCAATTTTAAATATAGCTTGTTTAAATCTAATCCATATGTTATGTTTTGCTTATAACCACACATTTAGAGCTGTAAATCCAGCCATCCAAGATTTTACAAAGGTTCATTGGAACAATGTCTAGAAATTCCAAATTCATGAACGTTCTCAGTTACATTGCTTTACTAGTAATATTATTGGGAATTCCAAATCTCCACGTTTCAATTTCTGACGATAAGCAAGAAATATGGCATGTTTTCATGTCCAACATGTCCAAGGTTTTTTGGCTCTAGAAGGCTCCTTTGATAATCATGACATGTTGCTGTGTGTTCTGACTGCACAGGAAGACTGAACGTGACACTTTAACAGCTGATTTTATGTGTCCTCGTCTGACCCGTTTTCCTGGAGCGTCCAGATCTCTTTCATTTTGGAGTTGTGAATTTCTGAAACAGCATAAATTAACGTGTCGCAGGAGGAACTGCGCAATATCCACTTGATGTTTGGCATGTGCCTCTAGCATAGATTGTGAAGAGCTAAATAGACTTTTCCAGCACAGCTTCCAGAGGCAATTTGTATAGTTATCTCCGTGTTTGACATAACCTTTTCTAGACATTCAGGACTTTACTTAACATAGCTGACTAGATGCGTCACGGTGTTTGACTGTTACAGTAGCTCATGGCTGTCAGCTGTACGCCAGTGGTGCCGCCCTACCCAGAATTCCATTCTCCTGTGGCGGAACGGCTTGTCCTTGAATCCCCTGAGAGCCGTAAACCCACTCTGAAAAGCACACACTTGCGGGGTAGTGTGTGTTTGTGTGTGTGTGTGGCACCATTGGCTGTGAGACTGACCTCTGTTTGGCCGTGGGTAAATGCTGTCCCTCTTGACGGACCTCGCAGCTTGTTCGTTCTACAGAGGAATTTGTTTACTTGTGGTGGAGCTACAAATAACAAGAGCGTTTACGTACAGCTGAATAACTTCCTGCTCTCCAGGCAGACACGTAACAAAAACAAGGCCAGAAAGGGAAGTGCTGGACACTTACAGCTGATTTAGGTTGGCCTCAGGGTTTTTTGTTCTGCTTATGTAGTCAAGGTGTATTGTAGTCAAGGTGTTACACCACACTAGTTTGTAATTAAGTTGTTCATGACAGTTTTCCAACTATCTCATCAATTAAAAATTAATTTCAGGCTTTTGCATAAATGATTGACAAACCTAAAACATTGCATCATAATGCAGGTTGTTTTGGTTTGCTGGCTGGTCAAACGTGCTTCCTTGTTTTTAGTTATAGCATGATTTTTTTTAATGTATAGTTATATTAATATAATTAATGTAGATAATATATAGATAATTAATATAATTAAATTAATTAAATATAATTAATATTTAACAAAGTGTTTTTTATGGTAAGAGTGTTTTTATTATTTTAAATATATATATATATATATATATATATATATATATATATATATATATATATATATATATATATATATATTTTTTTTTTTTCTTTTTGTTTGATTAGTTTGATTGATTAACTGTTTGTTTGATTGATTAACTGTTTGTTTGATTGATTGATTGATTAACTGTTTGATTGATTGATTAACTGTTTGATTGATTGATTGATTGATTGATTGATTGATTGATTGATTTACCAGATTCATGCATTTTTGACTTCCTACTACCTTTTTGATGTCCTTGGCTGACCACATACTGGATGTATGTGCATAAAAATGCACTGATTGATGAATTATTTAATTCTCTAAACAATTGATAAATTTGTTGTAAATTTTAGTTAGTCCTTCATACACTTGTCAATACTCTTATGGTGTTTTTTTGCATTTACAGGCTTTTGGCAACGCAAAGACAGCACATAACAATAACTCCAGCCGTTTTGGGAAGTTCATCCAAGTGAACTATCAGGAAAGTGGCACTGTTAGAGGGTAAGTTTGTCCCTGTCTGTAGTGTTGTGAAATGCCTGCAACCCTTTGCTAATTTGTTGCTTTTTTTTTTTTTGCAGAGCATATGTAGAGAAATACCTGCTGGAGAAGTCCAGACTCGTCTATCAGGAACACAATGAAAGGTAGAAGACGTTGTGCTGTTATTAACCAATACTAGGAATGGGTCATTTGACTTTGTTTCACAGATTTCTCTCAGTAATGATTAAATCACACTGAACTGAGCTAAACTGAACTGTACTGAACTTAAACACTAAAAACTGAACTACTCTATTCCAGTTACTATGACCATTTATACGAAGCTGCTTTGACACAATCTACATTGAAAAAGCGCTATACAAATAAAGCTGAATTGAATTGAATTGAATTTCTAAAAAAGTGTCCTATTGAAACACTAAATTCCAATTAGACATTCCATACATCAGCATAGAATGATGTATGGAACATAGTGTTAAAATTTCCCCCTTTTGCACTATTTATATAAAGTTATTTTCTAAATACTAACTGAACTAAACTGTTTGCAATCACACAGAACCAAGACAAAAGAAAATAATGGTAATGATTTTATTTATGAACTGTCCCATACCTTGCTGATCCTATTCACTTCAGCTGTCAATAAGTAGGAAATAAAGAAATCATCTATTGAATTGAAATATTTTGTGCTTAAATCAACATTATTCTCATCTAAACTAAAGTTTAATTGAATATAGTGTTGATTTGATAGAAGCTCATGAGGAATATGTCCAGTAATTTCTATGCTGTGTTGTTGGAGTTACAGTAGTTGTTCAGTTTACATCTACAGATGCTTTATCTCTTGGCTGTCGTTACTGGTCACACTAGTTTTATGACATAAATTCCTTGTTTACGTGTTTTTATGGAGTTGGGCATAAATCACAGCCGTCATACTTGTCCAAGTTTGTCCAACCGAAACTAGTTTGACATTGTGTGACAAGTGGCATGATAAAGCGATTAGTTTCTTTACAGATATGTCAATCTCAGCTTTTTAGAGTCAGTGCCCTTTATTTTTCTCACATATCAAGTTTATTACAGACATACAGTTGTGTGACTTTTTGAACAATACTTCAATTGTATATAGTATGAAATATTTACTTGGTCACAAACTGAAATGCTTGCTTTGAAAAAACATTTTTAACAGTGATTGCTGGATTTTGATTGAGAATTACTGTGGAAGTTAAATAAACAAATGCAAAGAGACAATGTAGTTTTCAAAAATTGTTAGTTTTAGTTAGAATGATGTAAGCATGCCTTCCCTCAGAGTGCCAAAGGTTTATAACAAGAATTAACTTTTAATTTTATGCTTTCCTACATTGTGTTTTAAAGCAGGGATTTTCAGGGATTGAATATGATCATCCTTGTTCAAGTAACCCTTATTTGACAAATATGGCACACTGCTACTTTAACTCATATTTATTTTTTTTAAGTTAAGATTATATTATATTTATAACAAATGCTTTATTAAAAACATTTATGAGGTAAAGTGTCAGTGTGGCGATTTTCTTTTGATCATTTGCTTCTTGTATAAAGGCCCATCTTAAGTAGTGGAATATATAAATAATAAAAAAGCAAAGGTAGTTAGTCTGTGTTGCATGTACATTTATTTATTTTTTTTATTATTTATTACTTAATGATATGTATACATCTATTAACTTATTTTAGTCATTCTTTGAGTTTTGGATAATTAATTTATTTTAAACGTATTACATATTTAATCTCTATTAAGTTAAATTTAATGATATTTTAACGGTATATATTAATTTAACTAAATGAATATATATTACATATTTAATTTATTGTAAAAATGGCACATTTTACCTATTTCAATGACATTTTAACTGTACGTTTTTAATTTTGTTGTTTATCTCACTAAATTGTATTTTAATTCATTGTTTTCAATAATTATTTAAAAATCATTACATCTTATTTTCCTTTATGCTCATTTGTTTACTGTAATGATTAAATAATGTTAGATTAGATAATATTGAACTACTAATAAAATTACTTTTCATTTATTTTAAATCTTCTTTTCACTCTTAATTACTTAATTTTTTTCAATTACTTGCTTAACTGTACCTTTTTCCCGCTCCAAACATTCCCATGGTCCCATAGCAATTTTTGCAGTCTGTGTAGGTCCCTGGACCGCATCTTGAAAACCCCTGTTTTAAAGATGGGTTCAGCACTAAAATTTGACTCCAAGCAGAATCAGTACTGCTTGGACTGTAAAGCAACTGGCAAATTTATATCCAAATATCTTCAATCGACTAATGGCAGTATGCTGTTTTAAAAAAAAAAATATTCTGTTTATGTCGCAGGAATTACCACGTGTTTTACTACCTGCTGGCAGGAACGAGTGAAGAGGAGAGGACAGCGTTCCACCTCAAAAAGCCTGAAGAATACCATTACCTCAATCAGGTACGACTTCATCCTGCTGCATGCACTGTACTCACCCTCAGTGACCCCATTTACTACTGCCATTAACATTCCTCTCAGATGAGCCCATTACAAGTGGTCGACAGAGACACATTGCCACTGACACCTGGTTGTAACATGTGTCTCCTGTGACCACTTGTTATCAGATTTCTTTGAGAGGAGGGTCTCTGAATTTATCACCACTTACTATGGCAATGCATGTTGATGTGTGGCTTATGGAAGGACATCCTCAAAGTCTTGTACATGTTTAGTGGTGGCCAATTCCAAATTTTTAAATTGTTTAATTGTTTTTAAACCCGTTTTTAAATCCAGATTTGATGGAAAAATGGCAGAGGTCATTAATGCATCAAGACACTTAAGTGTTTACATGGCAAGCAAAGCACAGTAAGCAAAGCCCATGTGCTGCCCTCGACATTGGGAAAGGAGGTTTGAGTGATTCCCTGTTTACACTTGGAGTTATCCACATTCATTATATATATATATATATATATATATATATATATATATATATATATATAATAATAATAATAAGATTTATTTTTTGGAGCAAATTCATGCTGCTCTGTGCTATACAAGTAAAATGGATTAGTATCTAGCCAAAATGTCTATGAAGACAAATTTTATTTTCTGTTGTAATTATTTAGTTTTTTTGGTTAAAGTTGGTTTCTCCTGGTTATTCCATTTAGTGTGTGTAAACAATGAGTTCGGGCTACATTTACAAGACAGAGAAGTTTTTATATAGTTTCCTGTTTACACAACAACGTTTTCAAAAAGATCTGCATTTAGACATTCATGATAATGACTTAAAATGCTGTACTACATATACAGTACCAGGGAAGTATTTGGCGCTGTCAGCTTGTTAGTAAACAGCAACTGCAGGGAATTGACGATGTATGTATGTATAATTTTCAGTTTGTGTATGATGCATCTCAGACACACACTGCAAATTCTGCATACACGCCAACACAAGCCGTTGAGATCATTGTCAATTCCCTGCAGGTAATGTGAAGTAAATCCACACTCTTCTGATTCAGTGTTAGTAAACATTTTGAAACATACAGTGTGGGTATGATGCATCTCAGACACACACTGCAAATTCTGCATACATGCCAGCACAAGCCATGTAGAGATCATTGTCAATTCCCTGCAGGTAATGTGAAGTAAATCAACACTTTTCTGATCAAGTGTTAGTAAACATTTGAGCATCATGAACATTATCACGTAGTGATTATTCTACTGTCTTTAGTCTACATCTCTCTAACATTGTGTCCTAATTACACTTGACGCTACAAGATTCCACCAACAAACAATTTGGCTGTCTTCACCAATCATAACGCAACACAACAGAAGCAAATACTATCCATTAATTTAAATATCAGCACTGCACTCCCAATGAAATGGTTAGGGTTGTAATCTAATTGATGCATATTAAACCAATTTAGCACTATTAATAGTACATATGATGATAATGAAGATTTTGCACTGACTTTCATTTTCAAACCTTTTCCTTTTTTTTTTATCAAGTTTAGAGTTAAGTGATCTGTTGCTGCTTTCTATAATAATGACAATATATGTCTCGTTCAAATATTGGTATTGTAAAAAAAAAAAACATACCTTGTACCTGAGGGGATAATTGTCTTTTAGTTTATGCTGTAGTAAATATAATAATGAAATAAAATTAATGTAAAAAAAAAAAAAAAAAAAGAATAAATAAAAGAAATAAAATAAAATAAAAGAAAGTCGTTTTAACAAGAAAAAGATACAGTTTATCTTATGATGCGTTGCTGCTTCATGTATAGTTGGGACATGGTGTGAACATACTATCTACAAAGAGCTTAGAATGACCAAGAGGCGACACTCTACGGTAACTTGGAAAACAGTCACTAGAGGGCGCGGCAGCCATTTTGGAATGAAAACTCCAATAGAACAACAACATATTAAAAGTCTGTAAAATAAACTATTAAAAGTGCTGATTATTGTGATAATAAGTGTTGTATTGTCATCTTTTAGGTTGTATCTAAGCTTTAATGCGCTTTTTAAATAAAAAAATTAAAAAACAAAGCATCTGCTTGCCATCGCGACAGTAATGAGATCAAATAATAGTAAAATAATACTTCATAGTCTTTGTTTTTATAAACAATTCAATAAAATTTGTCTTTAGTAATTTGTCAAATGGTACAATTTTTTAAATATTTTCCAAAATGGTCATTTATACCCAGACTTCAGCATTGCATATGCTTGCAATGTGATTATTGCGAATGACCACATTGCGGTATCGATGCTGAAATGATATATTATGCAGCTCTAGCCAAAATGCATACAAATACTCCCGTTTTTGGCTGAAAAGTTGTTGTGTAAATGCCCCATTAGAGTTATTTTAGGTTGATCTGTTCCTTTAACCTCCTAGAGCTTATTGGCCACATACGTGGACAGCCCATTTTAGCTCTGAAGTGGCTATTTAAAATACTTTGAGTGTTTTATATTTTATTACAGACATACAGTGTCATCCTGCAACTGTTTTGCAGCTCATGAAATATCCCAAGAACTATTTTTAACTGTCCAAAATGGGGAAAAAAAATAGTTTTTACTCTCTGATGGTCAAATTATGTTAAATAAAATATATGCATTAAAAACAGTCAGGAAAAAGTGTTTTATGAAAATTCGGACCAAAAGTCCACATATAAGGACATAATTTTTCTCTAAAAGTACATCATATCGAAAGATGATACTTAGGTTTTATTCTAATTAGATTCCAATAAGCCCAAATAGCAAAGATAATTTAAAAATGCATTTAATAAACACATTGGGTCCTAAGAGGTTAAGTCCAGGTGTAAACAGGGTGTAAATGACTTGCTCAGATAAAAGGCTATGGACTTTCACTGTGTCAGGATTTGGGCTTTTATGATATCTTGTTTTCTCAACACAGTAAATATGGCCACATTAATGATATCAGCAGAAATGTTCATAATGATATAAATCATAATAATGTAAGCAGTCAAATTCAACATTTTGACGAACTAATTAGTCCAAATATCAATGTTAGAGGAACTACACAAGTATACAAAAAGTCTGTCTGGAGGATACTTTAATTTTTCTTTTTGTTGTCAAAAAATCTATGTCTATGTCTCAAATCTATGCCAAAAATACAATCAAACATGTTGTGAAAGAAAATAGATTGTCTTGCTTTTGTGTGTCACATCCTCCAGCATGATTGTGTGTGGCAGTAATCGCTACACATTGCATTGTACTCATATTTTCGTGATGGGTGGCAACCAGCGTTAAGGTGCAATCCTGCCACCGACTTGTTGAATGTTAATTGGCACTAAACGAATATCATATGTCCAGTGTTAACATATCTACATAGAATTTTTACAGTTACTGTCAACGTTGCTCATCATGACACCCTAGTCAGGTCTGTGGTGCAAACTGTAAAGGCTATGCTGTTAGAGAAGTCAACGCACACTTGTTGAGAAATTTGGATGCCAGCATTATTTGTGGTGTGTCCCATGTGGAGTCAGTTTTTGTCATGAGTGCGTGTCAGGCAGCTGCTCTCTGAGGCCGTAACAGACCCATTGACGGGATTCACTCTCTCGCTGGGCAAACAGGAAGGAGGAGAGAATGGAGGAAACAGATTCCACAGTTCATTCCTTTCAGCTGGCCCAGTGCTCTCACACACAGAGCCGCTTTAAAACCTAATCCCGCCACAGAAAGCAGCCCCTGTGCTTCTAACATGCCCCTCATTTCCATAACACACACCTGCCTCGTGCTTTTGTTTCTGTGTGAAGTGCTCTTGCATGCAGATGTTCATTCCGTTGTATGTGTGAAAATGTATTTTTGGTCTCACGAAACGTTAAAGGGATACTCCACCCAAAAATGTGAAATTCTCTTACGATTTGCTCACCCTGATGCTGTGCCAGTCCCTGATGCTTTTGAATTCACTTCTGTGGATCACAGAGGTTTTTAGACAGCTCATTTCTGGCTGTGTTACAGTATGTAGGGGAACAGATCTAGAACTGGAGTCCGTTCTTGTTGCGTGGATTACTCAGTTAGCTGGATTTGGTTATTGATGATTTGACATGATCAAGGATTGTTTCGTTCTTCGAAACTCGTCCAAGAGATTTTGTCAAAGCAACAGTTCGGGTAGCTCAAACCTGCTCAGGAGCAGCAGCTTATTTCATATAAACAATATTAGATCAGGTTTTTTCAAGCAAAGGTAATAGTTAAAGTATGTACCGAATGCTAATATTTTCGTACAGTAGCAGTTATAAATACTTTGGTAAATAGTAAATAGTTAAATATATATAAACGTATGCTCAACGTATGCTCAAACTTATGTAATCTCCACTTAAACTGTCTAAAAAAAGTTTTTGTACTAAAGAAGTACAAAAACGGTCACATGGTTATACTCCTTAAGGCATTCAAAGAGAATTTTTATTAATATGAACCTTTTACAACCACGTACTATTTTAAGGTACCGACCCAGCTTTAGTACAATTTTTGTATGATAATAGACATGCACAATTTAAAAAAAATAAAAAAAATTAGGGAATAAGAATTTATGCAGTCATGCACATGTTTTGACGGGTAATATTCTGGGGCCTCATGTATCAACACTGCATATGCACGAAAACTTTGCATACTCCAGGTTTCACACTCACGTTTGGATTTACTAACAATGAAATGAACGTGACAATGTGCATTGCTCCACAGCAACTTCATGTCTGGCGTACGTGCATTTCTTGTGTGTGTTTGTTTTATTTCCATTGGTGACTCATAGAGGCAATTATGTTAAATTGCAGACTACGAAGTATCTTTGAGTCGTGCAATATCAGCTGTATGAGACGGGATCATCCGCATTTCAACAATTATATAAGGTTTCCATACCATGCAGTTGACCAGCCAAACATTAAAGCGCAACTTGCAGCGATCGCCGGTTTTCCCAATGTAATCGGAGAGATCGACTGCATGCACATTGCTGTAAA